GGTTTCTAAAGCTCCAGAGCGGGACAAGCGTGAAAACTCGTGGGTTCCTAACGCCCCAGAGCTAGACGAGCGAGAGAACACATGGTTCCTAACGCCCCAGAGCGGGACAAGCGTGACAACATGTGGGTTTCTAAAGCTCCAGAGCGGGACAAGCGTGAAAACACGTGGGTTCCCAACGCCCCAGATCAGGACAAGCGTGACAACACGTGGATTCCTAACGCCCTTGGGCGGGACAAGCGTGAAAACATTTGGGTTCCGAGCGCACCTAGAGCGGGACAAGCATGACAGCACTTTGGTTCCTAACGTCTCAGAGCGGGACAACCGTGAAACCGCGTGGTTCCTAACGACCCAGGGCGGGACAAGCGCGAACACACGTGGTTTCCCAAAGCCCCAGAGCGGGACAAGCGTGACATCCCATGGGTTCTCAACGCCCCAGAGCAAGACATGCGTCAAACCACGTGAGTTGCGAACGCCCCAGAGCGGAGCAACCGTGAAATTACGTGGGCTCCGAACGCCTCAGAGCGGGATAAGCGTGAAAACATATGGGTTTCTAAGGCTCTGGAGCAGAGCAAGAGTGAAACTGCATGGGTTCCCAACGCCCCAGAGCGGGACAAGCGTGAAAACACATGAGCTCCAAGCGCCCCAGAGCGGCAAGCGGGAAAACGCGCGGAGTCCTCACGCCCCAGAGCCGGGCAAGCGTGAAATCACATGGGTTCCTAACGCCTCAGAGCGCGACGGCGTATGCCCTTCGCCCCCTGGGCGCGTCCCCTGGCTCGTCCTCTGTCGCGTTCCCTGGCTCGTCCCCTGGCGCTTTCCCTGCCCGTTCCGTGGCGCGTCCGTTGCCACGTCCCCTGACACGTCCCTTGACACGTCCCCTGGCGCATCCCCTAGTGCGCCCCTGGCACATTCCGTGGCGCGTCCATGCGCCCTGCGCCCCGTGTCGTCTCGTCCCGCTTTGGAGTTGAGTCGGATCTTGAGCTCGAGCTGACTGAGCGTCCCGCGCGTTTCGACTGCAACCAGCTCTGGGCCAGCTATGCGCCCAGGCAGCTCAAGCTAAGATTCAGATCACTTCGGTCAGGATTCGGATGCCGAGGGCGACTTGATCCACAATCCTATGGAGCACAGCGCAATTCACCGCGGCATGACACATCTGATTTCAGCACGGCACAGCACAGCACCGCCCTTGGCACGGTACATCACGATCGATATTTTCAGTATTGCAATTGCTTGTCGCTCATTGAGGTGTCTTGAAAACGTACCCATGCCTCGTTGTTCTAAATTCATATCTGAGTTCGTGGGTCGATCTTGTTCCCGGAAAGGGCGCGGGCCCATGGTTCTCTTTTAGTGGGTTTTCCCCCCGGCCCTTACGGCAAGAGGGCCAGCGAAATTATTCTGCGATCAATTACAAGGTAAAGAGTGAAATTGCAGTTGAACAAGTGCGTTTTTCGCGTGCCCGCTCGAGGAAAGTTTGCCCCCCGTCTCGGATCCTCGATAAACAACGGGGTCCGCAGACCACCGTTTTCCTTCGTAAGCAAAAATGCGCGGGGCATTTTTAGCAGAATCCTCGAAACAAAACCGAGGTCTGGAGCCCCGACCAGGACACAACAAATGTGAACATGTTGACTTTTTGCGTGCCCGCTCGAGGATGGCGCGTCCTGCGCGCAGACATTCTGGGGATGTCTCGAGCGAAACGCTCGTTTTACAAAATTTGACGGGTCTGGGCGCTAAAGGATGCCCAGGGGGTTCTGGGAGCGCAGACACAGCGTAATTTACAAGGGATCGCGGCTTTGGGAGCGCGAACGCCGCGTAATTTACAAGGGATTTTGGCATTGGGAGCGCGGATGCCGCGTAATTTATGGGGGGTCGTGGCCCTGGGAGTGCGAATATGTCCAGGGCACCCAGGGGTGTATCTAACATGGTTGCTCAGCTGGATCCAAGTGTTTTTACATGTCCAGGCCACCCAGTGGGGTATCTAACATGAATGTCCCGAACTGGAGCAATGTGTTTTTACGTGTCCAAGCCGCTCACGTGGGTTCTTAACGCCCCTGAGCGGGACAAGGGTGAAACCACATGGTTCCTAACGCCACCGAGTGGGACAAGCGTGACAGCACGTGGGTTCCAGACGCCCCAGAGCGGGACAAGCATGAAACATGAGGATTTTGAACGTCCCCGAGCTGGACAAGCGTGAAAACACATGGCTCCAAACGCCCCAGAGCGGGACAAACGTGAAACTACGTGGATGCGGGAAAAGCGTGAAAACACGTGGGTTCTCAACGCCCCAGAGCAGGACGAAGCATGACAACACGTCCTAGATCTGGGCAAGCGTGAACCCACGTGGCTTCCTAACGCCCCCGAACGGGACAAGCGTGAAAACGCGTGGGCTCCTAACGTCCCAGGGCGGGGTCAGCGTGAAGACAAACGTTTCCTCACGCCCCAGAGCGGGAGAAGCGTGAAAATAGTTTCTTGGCGTTTTTTTTGCCCGTTCCGTCGCGCGTCTCTCGCCGCGTCCCCCGGGACGTCCCCTGGCGCATCCCCCGGTGCGCCCTTGGCACACCCCGTGGCGTGTCCATGCGCTTTGTGCCCTGTGTCGTCTCGTCCCGCTTCGGAGCTGAGTCGGATCTTGAGCTCGAGCTGACTGAGCGTCCCACACGTTTCGATTGCAACCAGCTTTGGGCCAGCTATTCGCTCAGGCAGCTCGAGCTTAAGATTCAGATCAGTTCGGTCAGGATTCGGAGTCCAGGGGCGACTTGATCCACAGCGCTACAAACACAACGAAATTCATCGCGGCAGGACATCTTATTTCAGCACGGCACATCACATCACAATTTCCAGCACGGTACATAACGATCGATATGTTCAGCATTGCCGCCCAATCCGGTGTCTTGAAATGTAGCCATGCCGCGCGTGTATGAATTGTTTGCAGGGTTCGTGGATCGATCATGTGTTTTATATTTTGTTGTTGTTGTTGTTGTTGTTGTTGTTGTTGTTGTTGTTGTTGTTGTTGGTGTTGGTGTTGGTGTTGGTGTTGGTGTTGGTGTTGGTGTTGGTGTTGGTGTTGTTGTTGTTGTTGCTGATGTTGTTGTTGTTGTTGTTGTTGTTGTAGTTGTTGGTATTGTTGTTGTGGTTGTTGTGGTTGTTGTGGTTGCTGTTGTTGTTGTGGTTGTTGTGGTTGTTGTGGTTGTGGTTGTGGTTGTGGTTGTGGTTGTGGTTGTTGTTGTTGTTGTTGGTGTTGGTGTTGGTGTTGGTGTTGTTGTTGTTGTTGTTGTTGTTGTTGTTGTTGTTGTTGTTGTTGTTGTTGTTGTTTGTGTATGTGGTCTCTCCCTCTCTCTCTCTCTCCCTTTCCCTCTCTCTCTCTCTCGTTCTCTCTCTCCCTCTCTCTCCATTTCACTCATTATCTTTCTCTCTCTCTCATACCCTCTCTCTCTCGCACTCTCTCTCTCTCTCTATTTCTCTGTCTCTCTTTCTGCTGCCGACGCTGTGCCTCCTCGCCTCGTGCTTCTGGCGAGCGCCCTGCGTGGATGGCGCTGATTTGCGTCGCTGTCGTTCCGCGCGGCGCAGTTACCTGGCCTTCTCTAGCACCAGTGGATGCAGCTGGAATCCGAATTGGCTGTTCTCGGGTGGAAGCCACTCTGATCTCTTCTCCTTCTCCTGCACCATACTCTCATCTCCATTCGCTCGTATATGTAGGGATGGCAGTGGTTTTCAGTCTGGTTCCCATCGCGGCCTGGCCCTCCTGTCCGCTGTCTCTCTCATCCTCCTGCTCCCATGCCATCGCCCCGTCGTCGTCCCAATCCCTCCAGTACCCTTTAAGTCTATAGCGAGCTTGGTAATCCTCCTGCTCCTGCTCGTGCCGCTCCTCCTCCTCCTCCTCCTCCTCCTCCTCCTCCTGGGTTCAAGGTGATCAAGCTGTTGTCTTCCAACGGGGCATTTTCTCCCGATCTTTGTAGGGGCCATGAAGAGGGAACCTGGAGGGAGGGATGATTGCAACATCGTTGATGAGTTATGGATTTGCACTGGTCCTCCTCCTCCTCCTCCTCCTCTTTCGAAAGCTGTTTTAGCGATCTCGTGTACCGTTTTCGTTTCGACTTCCTTTAGCAGGAAAGGCGGAACGAAGGCAGAACGAGGGAAAACGAAAGCAAAACGAAAATGGAAGACCTCGTTAAGGTCGAGCCCTGCTCCTTCTCCTCCTCCTCCTCCTCCTCCTCCTCCTCCTCCTCCACATGGACCTTCCGCCTGAAATCCAGGCCAGTCTCAAGGGGGCTGACGTGTTCGTGCCGAATGCGCTTCTGAAGCAGTACCACCCCGCGCTCGCGGAGAAAGCCTTGGCAGTTGTTTCGCACAGCGAGGCGCTGGGTAAGGTGCTGCCGAACTACAGGGGTAAGTTCAAAGGATAGTGGTTCGTTGAGCTATTGGGGTTGGTGAGGGTGCCACTCACAGCAACATCTTTGCAGTAGCCGTCAAAGCTAAGGATCTCTGACGGAGCGGTGTGAGTACCATTCACAGCATCATCTTCGCTGTAGTTTCCAGAGGTATGGGATTCTTGTGGGGTGGTGTAAGGGCCACTGACAATTTCCCCTTCGAGGCGGTCTCTGAGGCCTCGGTCCCGCTATTTTGTCTTGTCGTTCTGCCTCGTTTCGTCTTGTCTCGTCTTGTCGTCGCCTCCCCTCTCGTTCCGTCCGAGCTGTCGTTTCTGCGCTTTCCCTCCGGTGGTTGCTCCCCTCTCGACCTCGTATGCCTCCTCTTCTCCCTCGTTCCTTCGTCGCCCTCCGCCTCGGTGATGAAGAAGCATTATACGGTCGTATGCTCCTGGGGGGTGGAGATAACACAACAGCAACAACATCAAAAGCTCCTCCTCCTCCTCCTCCTCCTCCTCCTCCTCCTCCTCCTCCTCCTCCTCCTCCTCCTCCTCCTCCTCCCCCTCCCCGCTGCTCCTCCTCCTCCTCTTCCTCCTCCTCCTCCTCCTCCCCGCCCCCTTCCTGCTGCTCCCCGCCCTCTCCGCCCTCCAGCTCGCGCGCAGCGGCCCCACCCAGCCGCCTGCGGGCGCGGCGGCCTTGCCGCCCTCGCGCGGGGCGCGGGGGGCGGTGGCCCCGATGGTGGCCCGGCCCTTAGCCCTGCAGGCGTGGCGCAGATCCCGGCAGCAGGAGAGGGGAATCGGTTCGGGAGCCTTGAGACGGGGGTCAATGCAAACGGGGGTCAGCCAGAGCGCCCGATTTTGCAGGATCCTGCAGGGCCAAGGTCGCACCGACCCGGGTCTGGGCGCCGGATCCTGCAGCATTTTGCAGGATCTTGCAGGGCCAAGGTCGCACTGACCCGGGTCTGGGCGCAGGATCCTGCAGGATCTTGCAGGACTATGCAAGGCCTGACTGACCCGGATTTGGATTGACCCGGGTCAGAAGATCCCCGATCGGTGAAGCCCCGTACAGAGTGTTTGGTCTTCGTATGGGCTTACTCTGGACTCAGCCTCGCTTGATGGGAGATCAAGTCCATAGGGAGTAAGTCCAAGTCCATGCGGAGTGCTCAGTCTCCGTATGGGCCTACTCCGTCTGGACTTAGGCTTTCTTGAGGGAGGAGGGCGGCCGCAGCAACCAGGCGCGTGGGGGGCGCCGAGGCGGAGATCTTGTTCCCGAGGGGGGGGGTTAGAGGTATGGGAACCTTTTGGGCTGACGCGACGAGCACGGAGACCGAAGAAGAGGTGGGTCGACGCCGTGCTGACGTACGTCTGGGGGACCGGGGCCGAGCCTCCGCCGCGCCTCCCGCGTAGGGACGGCTTCCAGGCCGGTGGGCGTATGTGCGTGCGCGCGTGCGTACAGGTACGGATACCGTTGCCCTTCCCTCAGTTTCGCCCTCGTGGGCCTCTTCAAAGGCGGCCCACGAGGGCGTGTGCATTTTTTTTCTCGGCGAGAACCATCGAGGAGCATCCTTGATCATTTGGCGAAAAAAACACGCACGAAACCGAACAAAAACACAGGGAATGGACGTCCGAGCGATGGCGAGAGGTACGGATACCGTTGCCCTTTCCTCAGTTTCGCCCTCGTGGGCCTCTTCAAAGGCGGCCCACGAGGGCGGCCGCAGAAACCAGGCGGGGAAAGGGGGCGTTCATCACGGAAAGAATTTCAGCAAGAGCGGCCAGAGCGGCCAGCCTGTGCTGGGGCGACCTGAGCGGCTAGGCCTCCCAGATGGGGTCGGAAGATCGCTCCGCATCGCTGATGCATCGCCGTTGCGGCTCGATGTGGAGTCCGATTTGCTTCACGTCGACGTCGCCGATGCATCGGCGATGCGGCGCGATCCTCCGACCCCTTCTACTCCGACCCCATCTAGGAGGCGCTGTGTTGTGTCGTGTCGTGCCGCTTCGGTGTGTTGGCCCGCTTCAAACGTTTCCCTGGTTCAGTCGGCTCAGATGGTTCTCGGCTCGTCGCGGCCTGCCTTCGTCCGCGGCCTCGCCTCGGCTACCGCCCTCGTCTCGGCCGCCGCGGAGGCGCGGGAGACCTCGCCCAGGCGCGCGTGCTGGCGAAGGCCTCGTCTCAGCTGCCGACCTCCTCCAGTGGCGATGTTCGCATGGCAGCCCCGGTTCATGTCGGCACACCCCTCACACATTTCGTGGCCCCATATGAAGCGCCAGCGAAGGCCCCAATGGCTGCGCCCGCATGCGTCCCCGCCCCATTTCGGCACACCCGTTACACTCTTCGTGGCCCCATAAAGAGATCCACCGGCGATACCCACAACGGCGATATTCACAACTGCATACGGTTGGGCCCTTCGCCAGGATATTTTCGGGGCTCTTCTGGACTGCCAAAGGCCAGAAGGTGTTGCACTGCCGCCCTGTCGGGCAACCAGTGGCCCAAATGATTCGGCGCCTGCGAGAGGCCCCCGCCGTAGTTTCACGAGTCTTCGATCCCAGAGCAGCCCTTCACTCCTATCTGTATACGGCCGCGAGGGATTTGCTATGGGCACCTCCCGCAGCGTCCTCTTTTTGCTTTCGTCTCCCACGCGAGGTCGCCGAGCCGCTGTTCATGGGATGTGCCGGCCGCTCCTGCGGCGAGTTGGCGTTACCCGCCGCGGCGGCAGCGGCAACGGTCCCGCACCCGCCAGCTGCATGCCGGGCGGGACGACAGACGGCGATGATTGGATTGCCCGGTCGATGAAGCCGAGGCCTGTCGACAGTGGGCGGCGCTGCAGTTAGCAGAATATTTAGCAGGACTAAAAGACTGCACGGGCACCAAGTAGACAAGTATACAGTACAGTGCGATGGGACCCCCGCGACAGAGTGGACGGAACGCGTCGAACCGAAGCAAGGAGTCCAGGCCCTCCCAAACCTCCCAAGGAGTCCAGACGGCGATGAGGGGAGGGAGGAGGGTGGAGAGGGAACGAGCGAGCATGCCTAATTGGGTTGGGTCGTTGCGGGAGGCGGCGGCGGCGGCGGCGCGGCGGCGGCGATTCACAGCCTAAGAGGCGTCAAGCTGCGTGATGAGTTCAGGTCGTAGTTCATGGAGATCACCGCCTTCCATCCAGCGACAGCGGCGGCATCCCAATGGTGATGACGATGCTGGTTATGATAGGTGACAGTAGGTATGATTATGAAGGGATATGGCAGGAATAGTGAACACAGCTGTGTGTTGGTGACGAGCCAGCGCCTCATGGATCGTTTCAGGTGTAGCAGTTTGAAGTAAATGGGCGATGGACAAACACAGTTGTTTGATGATTTCAGTTGTTGCGGTATCTGCGCTGTGCAATGTGCTGCGTTTGTCACGCATGATCACCGAATTCATGTGTGTAATTGTTTGATGTTGCCTGGATCCCTGATTGCTTTGGGGACTGAATTTGCCCGCCATTCGTGGTGAGAGGCTTGCGATTTCAATGGCACATTTCGTATCGATCGTTAGTCGCTACTAAGCTTGAGCTGAAGCTTGACAGTGCTTAAGCTTGGCTTCGGAGTTCCGCAGCGATCACTCTCGAACATGGTGCTGCTAATCAGAACTCTTCTGTTTGCGCTCGATCGACGGCTGGATGCGAAATCGCGTTATGAAGACACCCAGGGCTCTTGTACATCCGCCAAGCACCTGAAAATCTGGAAATGATAGATCCAGAATGAGCGGGGCGCCAGAGAGCGAAGACCAGGAACAGGGCGAAGAGGAGGAGGAGGAGGACAAGTGTAAACCCAAGAGTCATCAACGATGTTGAAGTAACCCCCCCTCCAAGCTCCCTCTTCATAGGCCCCTACAACGCTTCACTTTCATTGAAGGAACTGCCTCGTTGTCAGACACCCGTTTGAAGACCCTGAGGCATGCCAAAACATTGTTCTCGGGATTCCAGCGCCGCGGATCAACCTGACTGTTGCGCCTTGACGATCCGGAATCATGCCAGAACACCATTCTTGGGACTTCACACAGTAACTGTTGCACCCGCATATTCCTGAGTCCTTCCAAGATTGGTACGTTGATGATGGGAATCCGTGAAACTCTTGGACATCGTGTAAACGAATACGCGCGGCGCTAAGGCGAGAGCCACATCTTGAAAAGGAACCGCCCTCAATCCGTGAAGCTCTTGCACTGAGAAAAAAACGAGTGTGCGCCGCGCTACGGCGAGAGCCACATTTTGAAAACCACCTGCCCTCAACCCGTGGAACTTCTGCAAATGTTTAAAACGAATGTGCGCGGCGCTAAGGCGAGAGCTACATTTTGCCGCCCTCAATCCGTGAAACTTTTGCAAATTAAAAAACGAATGTACGCCGCGCTAAGGCGAGAGCCACATCTTGAAAAGGAACCGCCCTCAATCCGTGAAGCTCTTGCAATTCTTGTAAATGCGAATGTGCGCCGCGCTACGGCGAGAGTCACATTTTGAACACCGCCCGCCCTCCATTTGCGAAGCTGTTGTCACCTTTTAAGCTTCAGAATCATAAATGGTGAGGAAGTCTCAGGCGAAACGCCCGGCCTGCCCTAAAAACTGGCGTCGGGGTGCGACAGGGAGAATTTTTTATCAGGAAAAGGAATGGAGGAGGAGGAGGAGGAGGAGGAGGAGGAGGAGGAGGAGGAGACGGAGGAGGAGGCGGAGGAGGAGGAAGAGGAGGGCGGACCCCTGGCGCCAGTCGTTCGCAGCGCACGACGCGGATGGGGCCGTTGACCATGGAGCGTCGTTCCTGGGTCACGAGGCCCCGCCAAGTTGGCTGGGGAGGAGTGGGTGGCGGAGGTAGAAGGTGGGGGAGGGCGGGAAGGAGGGAGGGGAGGAAAGGATGTAAGGGGGGCAAGGACTGGAACGATGAGGGGAGGAGATGGAGGAGGAGGAGGAGGAGGAAGAAGGAGGAAGGAGGCAGGAAGCAGGAGGCAGGATGAATGAGGACGGAGGACGGAGGAGGAGGACGGTGGACGGTGGACGGAGGACGCAGGAAGGAGGCAGGAGGAGGAGGAGGAGGAGGAGGAGGAGGAGGAGGAGGAGGAGGAGGAAGAGGAGGAGGAGGAGGAGGAGGAGGAGGAGGAGGAGAAGCAGGAGGCGGAAGAGGAGGAGGCGATGTAGGAGGAGGAGGAGGAGGAGGAGGAGGAGGAGGAGGAGGAGGAGGAGGAGGAGGAGGAGGGAGGAGGGAGGGATGGAGAGAGGGAGGAGGGAGAAATGGAGGGCCGCGAGAGAGAGGAGGAAGATGATTAGTAGGATGGTAAGGAACAGCGAAGGAATAATAATGCCACTTCGGGGACAGAGGAGCGCAGAAGGACCGCGATCGCCAGGCAAGTGAGTACGTGCGGCCACTCTCTTGGGGGGTCTCGCGCCCGCTCTGGGGGCCGACTTGGAGGCCCAGTGAGGTCCGCAGGCCCCACTCAGGGGCGCCCTCGCGCGCGCGGAGCAGAAAGCCCCCATTCCCAGGATGACGGCAAAAGCGAGGTACAGTCGGGGCCCTGAAGAAGGAACCCTTTTCGTTGAGGAGGGGCTCCGTGTTCCTTAATTGTGTCGCAGCTTGCCTCAGGTTTTCCTTAGGTTTTCGATGCGAAATCGAAGTTCAACCTATGGAGAAAAGGGGCCTCGTTCCTTATTTAGGGTTCCTTAGGTCAACGCCCCGACTGTACGAGTGACAACGGAAAGAGCGAGGTACGAGTGATGACGTTGAGTTGGGGCGAAGCCCTCAAGGGAGGGGTGCAGGGGAGGGGCGGGGGCCGGATGCAATGTTGCTAATGGCCGTTTTCGGGTTTTCCCTCGGGTTTCTGCATGGTTTTCGGGTGCCTCCCCAAAACAGCCCAAGAGCGCTCCCAGAGAGCCCAAGACCGCCCAAGAGGCCCCCAAGAGGCACCCAAGGGGCGTCCCAAGACTGCCCCAAGAGGCCCAAACCATTGATGTTCCTCAGGAAAACGTGCATTTGTCGCATCTACGGCTTTTCGGCTTTCACGGCGTTGGCGACGGCTCAAGAGGCCCCCAAGACCGCCCCAAGACGGCCCAAGAGGCTCCCAAGGGGCCCCCAAAACGGCCCAAGAGGGCCCCCAGACGGCCCAAGAGGCGCCCAAGACGGCCCAAGAGGGCCCCAAGAGGGGGATCACGAACCGAAAAGTATAACCTTTCGCCCCAAGACGCTCCCAGGAGGCCCCAAGAGCCCCCCGAGAAGCACCCAGAGGCCCCCACGAGGCGTCCCACGATGCCACCAGGAGGTCAAAATCATTGATTTCTTTTGGTGAAATGTACATTTTTAGCATGCACGGTTTTTCGGCTTTCACGACGTTGAAGACGGCCCAAGAGGCCCCCAAGACCGCCCCAAGACGGCCCAAGAGGCCCCCAAAACGGCCCAAGAGGGCCCCAAGACGGCCCCAGAGGCGCCCAAGACGGCCCAAGAGGGCCCCAAGAGGGGGACCCCGAACCGAAAAGTATAGCCTTTCGCCCCAAGACGCTCCGGGAAGACCCAGAGCCCCCCAAGAAGCCCCAAGAGGCACCAAAGAGGCCCCCAAAAGGGTTCCAAAAGGGCCCCAATAGGACTCCCACGAAGGCCCAGAGACGCCAAATAAAGAGCGATCGGTGACGCAAAAAGCTCTTCACACCAAGGCTCCCAAGAGCGAACGGTGACGTGACGTACACAAGTTGATAAGACCAAGGCTCCCAGCAGAGAGCGGTGACGTAACAAGTTCCTGACACCAAGGCCCAGCCAAGGCTCAGGAACGGGCGGCAACGCAACAATCTCTGAACAGCAAGGCTCCCAAGAGCGAGGGGTGACGTAACAAGCTCTCAACGCCAAGGCTCCCAGTACGAACGGTGGTGTGCGTAATTTCGGTTTCTGTTGCTGCAGCGCTCTTTCCGTTTCCGTGCCGGCCCAGGTGAAGTTCTGTCGGGGCGAATGGGTCTAAAGAGAGGGTTCATGTGGGAAGGACAGTAGGCTGGCCGTAACACGCTCAAGACGGTCCAATTGGTCCCAAAAAGCGGTCAAGAAGCCCCCAGAACGGCCCCCATGACGGCCCAGGATGCCTCCCAAACAGCTTCAGTTGGCCCCAAGAGGGCCCCAAGACGGCCCAAGAGCGCTCTAAGACGGCCCAAGATGGCCTACAGATGGCCCAAGCGGTCCCCAAGACGCCACCGAGTGGCCACGTGAAAACTTCCAAGAGGGCCCCGCGAGGCAACCAACACGTATTCCCCGTTCTGGGCCAAACAAGGATTCGATTCGCCAGGGGGGCACGCCAAGAGCTTCGGAAGGCTTTTCAATTCAGGGTCCAGGCTATTCTAAAGAATCCTCAGGATTGAGGACTGAGGCCAAAGAAATAGAGGACACTCCAACTCGTGCCTCAGGGCACAGTGGTGGATATTGAATGCTTGCTGAAGTACTGATTTCTTTGTTTCGAGGCCTCCTAGATGGGGTCGGAGTAGATGGGGTCGGAGGATCGCTCCGCATCGCCAATGCATCGTCGATGCGGCTCGATGTAGAGCCCGATTTGCTTCACGCCGACGTCGCCGATGCATCGCCCACGTCGACGATGCATCGCCGATGCGTCGACGATGTATCGGCGATGCGGCGCGATCCTCCGAGCCCGTCTACTCGGACCCCATCCAGAAGGCCTCTATGGTTCGATGATTTTTTAATTTTTTGATTTCTTGCGCGTCTCCCTTCTTAATTGCCTTACTGGCTACAGCAACAGGAGCATGAATGGGACCAGGACGAGCATGAGGATAGTGTGAAGTCATCCTGCGATAGAGTGAGAACGCAAGGAGATGGAGGGAGAGAGGGGAGAAAGAGAGATAGAGAAAGAGAGAGAGGGGAGAAACATATACATCTATATATATATATATAGAGAGAGAGAGAGGGAGGGAGGGAGGGAGGGAGGGATAGAGAGAGAGAGAGGGAGGGAGGGAGAGAGGGATCAGGGGGTGGGGCCGATGGGATGGAGGAAGTTGCGAGGGCATGAGGGAGGGAGATGGGCGGAAGGGGAAGGAGGGAGAAGGACGAAGGAGGGGAGAGGGTCTACTCGTTTGTTCTGCGGCCGGCCTTCTAAGATCTTTGCTTCAATATTGGCCATCGTTGCATCAATCATAATGTCATTGAGGTTTCAACGATCAATATACTCGGGACGGGCCACACCCTGGTGATCACCTTTCCCCGTGAAGACAGCGCTGCCCTCAACCCAGACCTTCCACCTTCGCGCGCAGCCTCCTGTACATGGTTCTTTTGGGTGAGGGAAGGGTGGGGAGGAGCGGAGGAGGGAGTGGCAGGCGAGCGCAGTGACGGAGGCTTGGCATCGCTCGGACGTGTGCATTTTTCCTTCGGCGAGGACCATCGAGGAGCATCCTTGATCATTTGGCGAAAAAACCACAGACGAAACCAAAAGAAACACGGGGAATGGACGCCCGAGCGATGGCGAGGAGGAGGGAGAGGCACGAGGATGCTGGGAAAGGTGGGGGGCAGGCGGAGCGGCGGAGCGACAGCGGACGTCCGGAGGACCCCCCTGGTTGGCTGGCGCGGACGGGGCGTCGGCCCCCCGCTGGAGGCCTCCCACCAGGCGTTCGCGGCGCACGCCTCGGGCGCGGGGTGCCACGAGGCCAGCAGCGCCGCCCCGCGCCAGATGAAGGGGCCCTGGGTCACACAAATAGATACACACAAATAAAAGGATTTCCCATATTTTCCTATATTTTCTGGGTTTTTGTCTTCCCCACCACTTCCCATATTTTCTCATATTTTCTGGGGAGTCGACGATGAATTGTGTCTGTGTGTTTCTTTCCCTCCTGACCAGAGGCCGCTCCGGGGCCAGCCGGCGAAGGAAGTGGGAGGGCTCGCACGCACGCCGTTGCGCGCGCACGGCGGGTCTCGCGTGAGCTGCTTCGTGGCGGCAGCTTCTCCGCGGCCTCCTCTGGTGAGCCGACGTCGGTGTCCTGGCTTGTTGGCCGTCGTCTGCCTCGGCGGCACATCACAGCGTCCATGTGTGCCACGCGGTCTGACCTTACAGAGTGCACGCGCAGGCTATTAGCGCGACGTGTGCGAGTCAGGCACGCTCTCGTCGAGTGGGCTGTGGACGCATCTTGGTGTCCTCTTGGGGGCTGTTGGGCCCTCCTTGAGGTAGCGCCTGCGCAACTTATCTTGAGGGACGTGCTGGTAAGTCTGCGGGGTGCAGAAGCGTCGACGGAGATTCGGCGCTCCCTGGGCAATGACGTTGCCAAAGCTGTGCAGAGAGAGTATCGCCTGCTCGTCTCCTGCTCGAGGCAATCTTGGGGCATATTGGCGGCGCTTCCTGGGCCGTATGTCAAGCCACCGTGACATCGCAGAGGCCCTGGAGGCCGCCGGGGAGGCGTCGGGGACTCCTGGGTAACCTCGTGAGTGTTTTCCCAACCCTTCCGTGCTGGTTCTCGGTTTGAAAAATACTGCTGCCGCTTTGCCTCCTTCCTTTCTTCCCGCCTCCATCCCTCTCCCTTCTCCTGCCTCTTATCGTCGATCTGCCTATTACTCTGCCTCCGTCCTGGGGGCTGCGAACTGTGAAACTGATGCCACTTTCATGAGCTTTTCGGGAGTCCAGTGGAGTGACATCGTATTCAGATCAGATAGCTGCGAAGCTGTTGTCACTTTCGTGGGCTCTTGGGGGGTCGAACGGAGTTACGTCGTTTTCAAATCAGATGAGATCTCGCTTTCCTTGGGATCTGCGAGCTGCGAAACGGTCGCCATCTTTCATGGGCTTCTAGCAGGTCCAGCGGAGTGTCGTCTTCTTCAGATTAGATGAGACCTCGCCGTCGCTGGGGGCTTCGAACTGCGAAAAAATGCCGTTTCTTCTTAGGCTCATGGGGGTCCAGCCAAGTGACGTTTTGTCCAGATCACATGAGATGCCGATGTTCTTGGCGGCTGCGAAATGCGAAACGGTCGCCACTTTCGTGGGCTCCCTTCAGGTCCATCGACGTGACGTCTTATTCGGATCAGATGAGACCTCGCCGTCGCTGGGGGCTGCGAACTACGAAACACTGCAGCCATGTTCTTGGGTTCCTGACGTAGGTTCAGCGGATCGGCGTCGTTTTCATCTCAGATGAGACCTCGCCGTCGCTGGGTGCTGCGAACTGCGAAACTGTCGCCACTTTCGTAGGCTAATGGGAAGTCCCGCGGAGTGACGTCGTATTCAGATCAGATCAGACCTCGCCATCGCCGTTGGGTCTGCCGCCATTTTCGTGGGCTCCTGGGAGGTCTGGCGGAGTGACGTCTTAATCAGCAGATCAGATGTGGCCTCGCCGTCGATGGGTGCTGCGAACTGCGAACAACTGCTGCTATTTTAGCGGGCTCTCGGGAGGTGGTCCAGCGGAGTGACGCATTCTTCAGATCAAATGTGGTTTCGTCGCCGTCGGGGGGGTTGCCAATTGCGAGATTTTCGCCACTTTCTTGTCTCCTGGGGGGTCCAGCGGAGTGACGTCTTCTTCAGATCGGGGGAGACCTCGCCGCCGCAGGTGCCTGCAGACTGTTAGCTGCGATACGGTCGCCACTGCTGGTGGGTTCCTGGTGGATCCAGCGGAGACTTCGCCGTCCGTGGTGGAAAAACATCAGTGGGAAAAATTGTGTGAACAAAAAATCTGTGGGTAATTGGCCAGGTAAACTGCGAAACGTTTGCCACGTTCGTGGGTTCCTGGGAAGGCCAGCGGCGTGACGACTTATCTAGATCAGGTGAGACCTCGCCGTCGCTGGGTGTTGCGAAGCAGTCGCCATGTTCGAGGCGCATGGGAGGTCCAGCGGAATGACGTCTCATTCGCATCAGATCGTTGCCCAGGGGTGGCGTTGCGAATTGCGAAAGCGCCCCCCTTCCCTTTCGAGCCTGAGGCAGCAACTGCGTACATCCCGCCCTCGTCTTTTTTATCGGTGCCTTGTGAGGCGTGCACCGCTCGAGCCTCCCATGTAACCATCGCATTGGCGCGTGGCCCTTGCCGTGTTAGCACCCGTAGTAAGTTTGCCCATTTGTTTGGTCAGTTGTTGCGGTTTGGTTGGTCACGTCGCCAGGATAAGTGCTTGAGCGCCACGGCCCAGCCCTTCCTGATTTGCTGGGGCGCAGACGCATGGTACAACGGAGGGAGGTGCAGCAGGCCGACACTGTTCGGAGGAGCCGCAGCAGCGGGTTTGGCGGCGTGGACCCCGGGCGGAATTGGGCGGATACAATGTGTCCGCCCATGAATTGTCAACCCCACTGCTCGCACAATCATCCCAACCTCTCACCCGCAACTTGTTCTGCAAAACCCACGCGGCCACGACTGCGGTTGCCGAGTGGCAAATGCTAGCGCATCTGTGCGGTCGCACTGTCGCGCGAACGCTCGCGCGGAGGGCGACCAGCTGGTTTGGCACAACTGGCGCGGCCGCGATAGAGCTTACCGATGGGGACTTCCCAGCGCGCCTTAAAGGCCACGCTGGCGCACGGGCAATACAATGCGGATCAGTGGCCCGGGCGGGCGCGATATCATGATGATGTCGACAACGGCGGCGATGACGCTAACAGCGATAGTGGTGGCGATGACGACGCTGACGACAGCAGCACAACTGACGCTGCCGATGTTGGTGACGACGGTGACGATGACGATGTTGATATCGATGTGTCGGTGGCGAATGTGATTGTCCTAATGATGGTGGCAATGACAGCGATATGTGATGAAAGTGCAAGCGGCGATGCGGTGGCACTGGTGGGGGTGGGGGTGAGGAGATGTGCACGGAGACCGTCAGCACATCTGCCAGATTTCTCCTTGAGCAACCACATGACATGTCGTATCGGTTCGAAGGTCTGTACGGCAGCTTCGCGTCGTGGCGACCGGCGGCGACCCCGCCGACGGCGTTCAACGTTGAACGCCTTCGGCGGCCCAGAATCGGTCGATGTTGAACGGTTGGGCGTTGCGGGGACGGCCGATTGTTTCAGGTTGAACGATCCACGCGGTGTCAGAAACCAACGCCCGGGTCGTCACGACGCGAACTCGCTGTGCCTCGAAAGGCGTCGGAATCCCATGATCTTGAAAACAGCGGCACGCGCGCGCGCGGGGGCGCTCGCGTGTGGCCCGCACGGTATGCTGTGACTCGGGCGCGCGCATCGGGCGCAGACGGCATCAACGCACTTGCACCGCGTGGTGAGATCGGTATCGTTTAACCGATCCCCATCCCCATCCCCATCCTCTTCGAGACCCTCACCAAATTACCCCCCCAGTTGGGGATACCCCTCTCGAAACCCGAAGGGAGCGGCCTGTATCCCCATCTAGGAGGGTAAATCGGCCAGTGGGACCCAGGCCACGCCGCTGGGAATGGGGATCGGTTAAACGATACTCAGAGAATGCGGTTCCTGAACGGACTCGCTCAAATCTTTTTAGTGCCCCATCATGTTAGTATGTGCGTGCGGACAGAGAAACCTGCAATGTGTATGATGAGAAACCGGCTTGTTTTAGGATGTTTGAATGTTGGAACTGTCGCTTGCACCATTGATGTTCATTGACGTTAATGATATGATTCCGGCATTTACGCGCGCGTGTGGGTTTTTTGCTCATTGCAGAAAGATTTTCTGAGATGAACGAGCGCGCGCATTTTGCAGTGGGCACGGATGGGGACAGGTCAATACCGGGCTGGCTTGGGAAGATCTGCTTTCATGGAAATTGAACGATGGGGCAACATCATGTGTAACGTGCAGGGTCCCAGAGGATACCGAGGAGTCTGGATTCGGGAAGGGGCGGATTTTTATCGAACACGCCTACGGCGAATCACCGCCGCCCCCTGCCCTTTCGGAAGCGCCTATGTGGCCGAATGTTGTGGCCAGAGGCCTGCCAAGCTATCGGACCATGTGTTCCCCGAGTCGGTTTGGATAGCCTTCGGGGAACACGTGGGGGAGGAAGAGGAAGAGGAGGAGAAGGAGGAAAAAGGAGAAGGGGGAGGATGCCTCTTCGGAGCCTCTTGGAGGCACTCTTGGGCTCGATTGGGCCATCTGGGACCGTCTTGGAGGTCATGTTGGTTCTATCTTGCGCTCTCTTGGAGCCTCTTGAGGGCCTCTTGGGGCCTTTTGGGGACTTCTCAGGGGCCTCTTTGGCCGTCTTAGGGCGTTCCTGGCCCGTCTGACGCCGTCGGGAGCCGTCTTGGGGGCCTCTCTGAACCGGCTTGGGGCCCTCTTGGGGCGCTTCGGGGCCATCTTGGAAGCCATCTTGGGCGTCTTGGAGGCCTCTTGGCCCGTCTTGGGGCCCTCTTTGGGCCGTCTTGGTGGCCTCTTGGGCCGTCTTCAGCCGTCGGAATGCCGAGAAGAAGCAAATGCCCAAATCATTCGACAACCTAACGAAAATCAATGATTTTGGCCTCTTCGGGCCCTCCTGGAGGACCTCTTGGAGGCCTCTTGGGTCGTGTTGGGCCGTCTTGGAGGCTTCTCGGGCGACTTTCGAGGTATCTTGGGCTCTCTTGGGCCGTCTGAGGCCGTCTTGGACCATCCTGGGCGGACTTGGAGGCCATCTTGGAGGCCATCTTGGGCCAACGTGGCCATCTTGGAGGCCATCTTGAGCCGTCTTGGAGGATTTCTGGGAGGATTGAGGTCCTGGGCAATCTTTTCGGACAGCAGCGAGGTACAGCACCGTGTTGACAACCATCGACGGGAGCGCACGCCCCAAGCTGCTCGGTGAGCACGCCCCATGCCACCCTGCCCGACGGCCCGGTCCGACCTCCGCGCGCGCTGATCTCTCCAGATATGTTGCGATTTCAGCAGAACTCAGAACACGGGAGCCTCCAAGTGATCGTTTTCTTATTCATTGTTTTGCCGATCGGCGCGGGCCATCGCCTCTCCCTCCCCCCATGGAGTAGATCTTGGCTGTTTGGGGCGCCTGTTTCGAGCAGGTGGAGTCTCCCCCGTAGGACGCACTGTTGCAAACAGTCGCACTAACCAGAGGTCTGGAGCCAGACCCCCCCCCTCCCCCCACCTTGCCGCCCAGTGTCGAAACGCCGAATAAAAAGACGCTCCCCAGGTGGTGCGTTATCAGGCGGTGACCTGGGATCCCCAGAGAGTCACCGCCGGGTTTTGGGACACGGGTTTACCGCCAGGTTTTTTGTGTTTCCTGGGCCCATCAGCGTTCGGGACATCCTCGAAAATCACACGAGTCCCCAATCTGGGTGGTGACACCAAATCGCCTGAGACTCACCGCTGGGTGTTGTCACCACCACGTTTGGGGACTTCATCATACGTTCCCCTGGGCCACCTTTTGGGTAAGCCTTGCCTCGCCTCCTCTGCTTGCGCCAGGCTCACGACGATTTCTTGGCAGGTGGCCCAGGCCTCTCCGCATTGCGGCTGGGCCGCGGGCTTCGATGCAATCGATCAGTAGATGGGGCTTGTGCGGCAGATCGTTCCGACGGAAGCCATTTTGCATATGACCCTTGGCCTGTTTGGTAAGGTCAATGGGTCGTAGATGGACGGGCCGGGTCTCGAAGATATTGTCTCTAGCGAGGAGGAGGAGGAGCAGGAGCAGCATCAGCAGCAGCAGCAGGAGGAGGAGGAGGAGGCCGACGATGACCAGGAGGTCGTTAGTATGTTGCCGAATTGTCTTTGAAGTGGTTTCGACTCTTCCACACGTTGTCGCGAAATTGTCGCGCGATGCCGCGCTCCTGTCGCAGATTGCCGTGCTTCTGACGCGGATTGTTGCGTTTTTGGTATCGTTTGTCTCATTTTGTCGCGTCTTCGTCGTCGTTTCAATGGGGTCAGTGACCGCAAGCGCAGGGATGAGGAGACGGATGGGAAGAAGGAGGGGGAATGGGGGGGGAGGGGCATGCCCGAAATGCGGTTCACGCCGTCGGGCAGAAGAGAAGGACGAGGAGGAGGAGGAGAAGGAGTAGGAGGATCAGGAGGAGGAGGAGGAGCACGATGATAAGAGGGTTGGGGGGTTGGAAGACGGGACGATGATGAGGGTTAAGCAGGTGTTTTGAGAAGGAGGGTTAATGAGGATGGTTGAGGAGGAGAGTTGAGGAGTATCGAGAGCGTTGCGAAGGAGGATTGATATGGAGATGGAGGAGGAGGAGGAGGAAGAGGAGGAGGAGGAGGAGGAGGAGGAGGAGGAGGAGGAAGAGGACCTGACATGGTTTGACCATCAACCGGCTCCTTAACCCTGATCGTCAACCATTTTTCCTTAGAAATTTGGTGCAGTGGTAGAAGATCGCCCAATTGTTGACAGGCTGGCGCAGCGCGGATCGGAGATGCCCCATTAGGCGCGCGGAGCTGGGTACAACGTGACAGGGGTGGAGCTGTGGTAGCCGGGCCTAGGCAACTTGGGGTTTGGACCAAATGTATGTAAGGCTAGACGGGATGGCAGTTCGAAAGCGGCGAACCGTGTGGAGGTTTCTCGCAGAAAAGGTTCGAACCAGGTTCGAGAGTCGGTTCGCAACAATCGAAGTCGGTAGAAGTCGGTTCGAAATAATCGAAAGGTAGGCGTTCCGTGCGGAATTTATTCGGAAAGACGATTCGAACTTGGTGTGAACTCGGTTTGCAACAAAATAAAAGTGAGAGCTTCGTTTTGGATTTCCGCGAAAAGATGGTTCGGAACCTGGTTCGCACAGCAAGGATAGCGAGGTATCCCTCGAGAAGATGACTTGGAACCCGGTTCGAAGTCGGCTCGAATCGGAAAGCGAGCGTTTGTCGTAGGAGTTCCTCGAGCATTTGGCTTGTCAAACAAGTTCTAAACCAGTGAAGCAAGGACGCCGCAATTGCAACATTTTGCCAATTTTCAATTACGCCCACGGGCAATACCACACCGCTCTCTGGCAGTGCAGACCTTGTCCACTGCGTCGTCATATCATCGAGCTTTCAGCGAGCATCCTGGCTCAAGTCATGCCGACGGGCGCTGCATTGGGGAACCGCCAGTCATGTGAAAACTACACGAAATCCAGCCTAATACAGACGCCAAATTGCCAAGAGTCGTGTTATGTCCTTGCACAAGAACTGCGCGCGTGATGAAGGAGCGTGGCGTGGCCTCCATCAGTGGTTGAGCGCGCCCGAGCCTTGGCCGATTGACGTATAAAAAGCACAGGTTGTTCCACTGGGCAACAAAAGACTTCTCTTTCGTAGTGCAGTTTTTGTCCATTGCGCTGTCATTCCACCGTGCTTTCAGCAGACATCCTGGCTCAAGCCATGCCGGCGCTGAGTTGAGGAACCACCAGTCACGTGAAAACTGAATGAAACCCAGCATTAAACTAACGCCATACAGCCCAAACTCACGCTGTGTCCATGCACGAAACGCACGCGCGTGTGATGAAGAACCGCGGCGCGGCCTCCACAAATGGCTCAGCCCGCCCGAACCCTAGCCGACTAACAGAACAAAAAACACAGAATGTTCCAATGCACCGTGAGAAAGATTACCTAATTTTTGACAGGCTGGCGCAGCGTGCATCGGCGATGCCCCGCTAGGCGCGCGGAGACTGGTACAACATGACAGGGGTGGAGTTGTGCCAGCGGGGACCGGGCAACCTGGGGTTTGGACCTCCAATTCAGTTTGTTTGAGGCTAAACTGGACGGCGGTTCAAAACTGGTGAACCGCGCAGAGATTATTTGCACCGAGGATCTGGACCAGGTTCGAAGGTCGGTTCGAATCAGTTACAGTCGGCTCGAAACAATCGACACGCTAGCGTTTCGTGCGGGATTTCTTCGAAACATCTTGGTTCGAACAACCGGCAAGTAAGCGTTTCGTGATAGATTTCCGCGAACAGAAGTTTTGGAGTCTGGTTCGAAGCCGTTTCGAAGCGTCAGGACAGCGAGCGTACCGTGCTGGATTTCTTCGGGAGGATGTTTTGGAATTCGGTTCGAAATCGATTCGAAACAATTGGAAAGCCAGCGTTTCGCGCAGGATTTCCTCGAGCGTATGATTTGGAATTCGGCTCCAAACATACATGCTCGAAACCAGCGAAACAAGAACACCGCAATCGCAAAATCGAGCCACACTTGAATCACGCCCATGTAGCTCGTCCCTGTTGCACCCTCGGACACGTCGTCGGCAGGGCGGGCTGGGCGTTTCGCCAGAGACTTCCTCACCACTTATGACATTGCTTGGTATCGCTCGGACGTGTTCACTTTTTCTCGGCGGGGATTATTTTAAGGAGCATCCTGGATCATCCTACGAAAAACCACGCGCGAAACCGAGAAAAAAAAGGCAGGGGATAGACGTCCGAGCGATGGCCAGATTGAAACCTCGACAGTGGCAGCAGTTCTAGGGATTGAGGGCGGGCCGTCTCCAAAGTGGAGCTCTCGCCTTCGCGCCGTGGACATTCGTCCCCAAAGTTGGCAGAAGCTTCGAGGATGGAGGGGGGTCGCAGGCCTCGAGGTTGACACCAACACCAAGATCGGCGGTGTGCCTCCACCGCGGGAAGAAAGATCCCGATCTCGGTGATGGTGGTAATAGGCTGGCTTCCAGGGTGGCCGAAATATTGCCACCAACACCGAAGTCTAGGATCATCTTCCCCCCTGTGGAGGCAACCCCCCTGTGTTGGTGTTGGTGCCAATTTCCAGGCCTCCAAGGGGGCCGGGGTCAAAATTAGGCTCTCGCCGTAGCGCCACAGACATTCGTACTCGAGGTCCGCAGCAGCTCAAAGGGTGAAAGGGGAGGTCGTTTTCAGCATGTAGCTCTCGCCCCAGCGACGCGCACAGTAGTTTACAAAATCTTCAAGGATAGGGTGGGGGCCGTTTTCAAAATGGGGCTCTCGCCGCAGTGCCGCGCACATCTGTTTTAGGTTCACAGAAAGACCAGAGCACACGTTGTCCATCCATGTACTTGCTTCGAGCGACCCCCACCCGAAAACGCGAGGCGGGATCCCCACCGAGCACGACGTCATTCTTAGACGACGCGGGTGGCATACCCAGGGAGTACCGGGCCCCTTGGGGCCTGGGGGCCGCTGTATGCAGGGCGTGCGAGGCGTTCCAGGAGCTCTTTCCTTCTTACCTGATGACCCCATCCTTTCGGGCGGGGAGCAGTGCACGCTGCACACTGAGATGTATTCACGAGCGCACGCGTCACACAACACAGCATGGGCGGATCTTCGACGAGCTCGATTCCAGACGAGTCGACAGCACGTTAGATAAGAGGAGGCGGAGGAGGAGGAGGAGGAGCATGGAGGAGGAGGGATTTGCCTGTTCTGGCCGTGCGTTGCCAATCAGGATCGGGATCAAGATCGGGCTGAATGGGGCGGGTGCGCTCTGAGGCCCAGGGCACGGCATTGCCAGGCATGCCTCTGCGCAGAGCGCTGCTGCCCTCAGCTTCGCGGAGGCGCCACGGGCGGGCAACCTGTTTTTTTTGCTGTCAGAGGTTGCTGTGCTTGCCGTCTGTTCAGTGCTTGCTCTCAGATCACGTCCAGATCAAGAAGGTTTCCGGCATGTTGGTTATGATTTGGTGGCTTTGATATCGGTACCCCCTCTTCCTCATTGTTACTTTCGTTTTTGTGCTCCTGCAGGCGTTTCGCAACCTTCTAGTTCCACACGTAAACCAACCTAGATTAGCTTGACGTGGCCGCCCCCGTGTCCATCTCCATCCCAGCGAATGACGGCGTTGCATTCTTGGAAACGTACGAATTCGATTGCCTCGATCGCATAGCCTCTCAGCTTGATCTCTCAGTCTATCAGGCCGGGGCGACCCAGACATGGCGCTGAAATGCCGACGTCGCAATACATCGAGCATTCCTTCTCTCCTCCCCTCCCCCTTTCCCCTCTTCCTCCCGTTCCTCCTCACCCTCCTGCTTCGGTCTTCTCCCTGCAGTTCACTCGGTCCTAAATGAGCGGCCCCGAATTTCGGCTCTCCAGGGGAGAGAACAGTCGGGAGCCGGGTGAAAGGGGCATGGGAGGTGTTGTGGGTCTTTCGGCGGTGCGAGCCAGAGTCTCGGCTGCCTTCCTCCGCCTTTCGCGCCTATATCCATCTGGAGTCTCCTCTTGCTCCTCTTGCTCCTCCCTCCCTTCTCCTCGTTCGCGCTGTCGCCTTCCTCTTCTCATGCTCTCGCCGCTGCAGCGCCCGAGCTTGTTGTCCTGTTCTTCCGTCACCGCCTCTGCGCTCTTCCTTGCTCCGTCCCCGACTGCTCCGCTACCTCGGCTTCATCTCCCCATGAGGGTCAAACATTTGCCTTCACTAAGCAACTCTCTCAGAAAGACACTGGAATCATAGCTTCTCTCCGCAACTTGAGCCCGAAGGGCTGGTGGGATTAGTTTGACCATCCGCTGGGAAGTAACACGTACCAGAGGGTCGGAGTGTGTTGCGGCGCGGCGGAACGCGTCGTGGCGTTCACCTCCAGCTTAGCAAGCAACGTGCAGATTTCGACCTGACCCTGAGACAGACATGTGAGTCCGCGGTTGACAGCTTGATCTGCGACGGCGCAAGAAGCATTGGCACTCTGGATTCACAGCGGGGCAGGTTGGGCGCTTGCCGCAACGCAGCAATACTCGTGGAAGCCATATCCACAGTTGGTTACTCGCCTGAGGGTGGGTCACGATCATCGACAGGTGTTGTAGAAGTCCCGCCAGAGCTCTTCAGTTTGCCAGGCTGCTTCTCGGCAGAGGCAGGACTTGGGCGAACAGGGGGGCCGGCGATGCGGGAAGACTTCAGTCGGGCGCCGCGCGCATGGGCGCTTCCAGGGATACGCTGTTGGCACGAGGGGTAAGCGTAAACCTAGCTTGGGCGGGGTACCCTTGGAATTCCACCTTGGAATTCGAAATGCTTTCGGGATTCCACCTTGGAATTTCACCTCTGTGCCCTATGTTCTTCATGCTTAATCTTTACACCTTGGAGTTCGGAATGCTCTCTTCGTGCCGGGCATCTGCACGGGGCCTTGGACCTTCGGCGAAGGGGTATCCCCTCGTCTGGAGCTTCGCGGCGTGAGCCACCCCTCTGCAGCCCCCCCGAGGACAGTGGCTCGGAAGTTGTGCCGCGAGGAGTGGCCCAGGAGGCCCCGCACCGCGCCCTCGAGCGTGCCCCATGGAGGCAGGCGCCCTCTCCAGGGGCGCCTTCTTGGGACCCCCCCCCACGAGAATCCAAGGATGCACTTCTTGCAGTCTGTCGTCCCTGGCTCGGCACAGTCAGCGTCCATCGCCAGAGTGCCAGCGGTGCGTATTCGTCATGGGGTGGGTGCGCTCTCCTACCAGCGGCCAGTAGTAGGTGCGGCGAAGAGCTGCTGGTATTCTTGTTTACGCCACAGGCTTCAGAGAAGTACCGTGAGCGGCTCCCGGAGGCCCTTCCCCCTCGGGACTCTATGCGAGAGTTCCAGCATATGTCAGAATCGAAAGCGTTCCCCGCCAACGCGCGGGCTTCATCGTACTGATGATGTATTCTCTGGCAAGTTCGCATATGTTGTAGACTGTTGTAGATCAGAGCCGTGCATATTCCCATTCATCTACAAGACCCCCAATCGGACCCTCCGAACCCCGGGCCCCCGGGACCCTCTGGACCTCCCCAGATCCGCGGCCCAGGGGACCCCCTGGACGCCCCTACAGGAGGCCCCCCAGGCGCTTCAGAGCTCCTGGAAGCCCTTGCTGGGCCTAGGCAGCGGGCCCAAATGGGTCAGGAGGGCGGCCGAACGCCCTCCCGAGGGCCCCAAGGGGCCCCAGACACCCACCAGACGCCCGAAGACGACCCAAAGAAGACCCCCAAGAGGCTTCCAAAACGTAGAAAAACATTGATTGTCCGATGTTTTTTGCATGATTTTGGGTGCCTTGTTCTTCGGTCTTCTAGGCGTCCGAGACTGCCTGGGGGGCTCAAGAATCGCCCCAAAACCATCCGAAAGGGCTTCCAGGCAGTCCAAGCAAGGGTTCCAAGATGGCCTAAGAGAGCCCCATGGCGGCCCAAATTGACCACAAGAATACACCCTCCGAAGCATTCCAAATCGTGACCCGGTCGTTCAGGGAGAGCGCGGTTGGAGGCACGGTGGCCCGTGGAAGCCCCCAGAGGCCCCGAGAACACGCCCAGGAGGCCTCCAGAAGGCCATGAGAAAGCTTGAACACCTTCCGTCAGGCCTACAGAGGCTATCCAAGGAGGGGGGAACTTCCGCACGAAGAGCTGAGGAGAATGGGGGAGAATTCGCAGGGTAGGGCGAGAATGAGATAAAAGAAACATGGAGGCAGGATAACGAAACACATTTTTGAAGGAGCACGTTCTGTAGTCACTTCAAGGGGGGGTGAAAACCGGACCCCCCCCTGGGGAATTTCGAACACCCCCCCCTCTCCTCCCCCTCCTCACCTACTTCTCCTCCTCCTCCTCCTCCTCCTCCTCCTCCTCCTCCTCCTCCTCCTCCCCCTCCTCCTCTACTTCTCCCGTCTCCCTCTCCTCGGGCCAGCGCCTGCGTCGGCGGCGGCTGGCGGAGGGGGGGACGATGACTTCCTTTTCTGGGCCGGCGCCGGCGCCTGCGGCGGCGGGCGGCGGCGGCGGGGAGCGTCGACGAGGACCAGGACGACGGCGACGACAATGACGAAGACGACGACGCTCCGCCACCGTGCCTTGGTTTTGGGTCAGCGTCCTAATGGATGCCTCTGGGGGTCTCGTCGGAGGGCTCTCGGGGGCCTGAAGGGCATTTGTGCAGCCTCCCGGGCGCCTCTTGGGCGTCTCTTGGGGCCTCTCTGAGGTGGTGGTGGTGGTGATGGTGGTGGTGGTGGTGGTGGTGGTGGTGGTAGTGGTGGCCTGTGGCGGTCGTGGTGGTGGTGGTGGTCGTGGTTGTGGCGGTCGTGGTGGTGGTGGTGGTGGTGGTGGTGGTGGTGGTGGTGGTGGTGGTGGTGGTGGTGTAGTTGGTGGTGGTGGTGGTGGTAGTTGTGGTGGTGGTGGTTTTGGTGGTGGTTGGTGGTGGTGGTTTGTGGTGGTGGTGGTGGCGGTGGTTTTTGGTGGTGGTGGGAGTGGTAGTTGTGGCGGTGGTGGGTTAAGGTGGTGGTGGCGGTGGCGGTAGTGGTGTGGTGCTTTGTCGTGGTGGCTGTGGTGGTGGTGGTAGTGGTTGTGGTGGTGGTGGTGGTGGGTTGTGGCGGTGGTGGTGGCGGTGGTGGTGGTTGTGGTGGTGGTGGTGGTTTGTTGCGGTGGTGGTGGTTGTGGTGGTGGTGGTTGGTGGAGGTGGTGGTGTGGTGGTTTGTGGTGGTGGTGGTGGTGGGTTGTGGTGGTGGTGGTGGCGGTGGCGGTGGTTGTGGTTGTGGTGGTGGTGGTGGTGGTGTGGTGGCTTGTTGTGGTGGTGGTTGTGGTGGTTGCGGTGGTGGTGGTGGTCGTGGTGGTGGTGTGGTGGTGGTTTGCGGTCGTGGTGCTGGTGGTGGTGGTGGTTTGTGGTGGTGGTGGTGGGCTGTGGTGGTAGCGGTGGTTTATGGAGGTGATGCTGGTGGTGGCGGTGGTGGCTGCTGTGGTGGTGGTGTGGTGGTTTGTGGTGGAGATTGTGGGTTGTGCTGCCGGTAGTGGTTTTGGTTGTGGCGGTTGTTTGGTGGTGGTATGATAGATTGTGGTGGTGGTGATGGTACAGGTGTCGGAAACAATGAAGCAACACTCATGCAGAACATATGGTTTGAACCTCCCCCCCCTCCCCCAAAACGCAATGTTGGTTTCGGATCTTCCGATTTTGGGCCTTCGAGCGGTCTTGCGAAAACCTGTCAACTTTGAATTGCGGGGGAGTGGGGGAGTGTTGTTTAATTGTTTCCCTCAACCGTAGTGGTGGGTTTTTTTTGTGGTGTTGGTGGTGGTGGTGGTGAGTTGTGGTGGTGGTGGTTGTGGTGGTGGTGGTGGCCGTGGTGGTGGTGGTGCTGGTTGTGTGGTGGGTTGGTGGTGGTGGTGGGTTGAGGTGGTGGTGGTGGTAGTGGTGGTGGTGGTGGTTGTGGTGGTGGCGGTGGCAATCGTCGCTGCGTCCCCGCCGTTGGCGCTGCTGGCCGCCGCCAGCGCCGGCGCCGGCGCCGGAGCAGGGGGGGTTTGGACCCCCCCCCGTTTGGGCTGCCTCTGGTCATCGTCGCTGCGTCTCCGCCGTCGGCGCTGCTGGCGGCCGCCGGCGCCGACGCCGGCGCCGAGGGGGAGGGGGGGGGTTTTGAACCCCCCCCCTGGGGAGGGGGCGGGGTTGGGGAGGAGGAGGGGTTAGGGGGGAGGGGAGTCCCCCTGGTTCTGATCGACGGCGCCGAGTGTTGGGGGGGGGCCAACCCCCGGTTCGAAACGCGCCGCCGAATGTTCCCAAGGCAAGCACCCGTGAAACGCGCTCTCTCACAATAACGGTGATGCCGGAAAAGGCAACAAGGAGTTACCTCTAAATTGTCGGTTTGACTGTCCTGCCATTCCGCTTGCGTACCAAATTTCAAGGACCAAGGTGCGTGGCGCGAAGCGCCAATGCAGCCAGTCTTGCATATTCCCACCCATCTATTTTTATTACCTGGGACCCCCCCCGAAATCGGACTCCCCGAATCCCCGGCCCCCAGGGTAGCCCAGGGGACCCCCTGGACTCCCCTGCAGGAAGCCCCCCAGGCGTTTCAGAGCTCCTGGAAGCCCTTGCTGGGCTTAAGCAGCGGGCCCAAATGGGTCAGGAGGTTGGCCGAACGCCCTCCCGAGGGCCCCAAGGGGCCCCAGACACCCACCAGACGCCCGAGGCCGACCCAAAGAAGACCCCCAGGAGGCTTCCAAAACGCAGAAAAGCATTGATTGCAGAGGTTTTTGCATGATTTGGGGAAGGCCCTGTTCTTCCGTCTTCTGGGCGTTCGAAGCTGCCTGGGAGGCTCAAACATCGTCCCAGAACCATCAGAAAGGGCTTCCAGACAGTCCAAGAGAGCCCCAAGACGGCATAACAAGGTTCCAAGATGGCCTAAGATAGCCCCATGGCGGCCCAAGATGGTCCCAAGACACCGTCCGAAGCATTTCAAATCGTGACCCGCTCGTTCAGGGAGACCGCGGTTGGAGGCAGGGTGGCCCGAGGAAGTTCCCAGAAGACGCTCAGGAGGCCTCCAGAAGGCCTTAAGCTAGCTTGAAAAACTTGAGTGAGGCCCCCAGAGGCTCTTCAAGGAGGAGCCTCCGCAAAAAGAGCTGAGGAGGATGGGGAAGAATTTGCAGAACAGGGCGAGAACGAGGTAAAAGAAACACGGAGGCATGATAACGAAAAACATTATTTTAACGGTGATTCCAGAAAATGCAACAAGGAGTTATCGTTAATTCGTTTGTTTGACTTTCCTGCCATTCCGCCTGCATACCAAACTTAGGACTAAGGTACATGGCGCGAAGCGCCAATGCAGTCTTGTATTTTTGTATGTGTATGTATATGTATGTATTACGGCTGGGGACGCGGGAAAAGCCCCCCCTAACGAACTTGGCCATACGAACTTGGCCCTCCCCAGGCCTCCGGGCAACCCATCAGACGACCCGAGAGAACCTCACGAGAGCCCGAAAACGGCCCCAGACGGGTTCCAGGCGTTCCGGCACGCTCCCGAAACGACCCCAGAGAGCTTCAATACGATCCACGACGACCCCCAAGAAGCCGTCATACCCCCAAAGATCGCTCCAAAACGTCCCAAGAGGCCTGCAAGATCACTCCCAAGAAGGCTCCAAGAGGCAAAATTCATTGATTTTTGGAATGTTTTTGGTGAATTTTGGGGCTCTCCTTTTTTCGGCTTCCCGACGCTCCAAGACGGCGGTCTTCTGGGCGTCCGAAGCCGCTTGGGCGGCTCCCAAATCGCCCCAGAACCATCAGAAAGGGCTTCCACGTAGTCCAAGAGAGCATAAAAACGGCACAACAGGGGTCCAAGATGGCCTTACGAGAGCCCCATGGCGGCCCAAGATGGCCCCAAGACACCCTCCGAAGCATTCCAATTCGTGACCCGCTCGTTCAGGGAGACCGCGGTTGGAGGCAGGGTGGCCCGAGGAAGCCCCCAGAGGCCCCCAGAACACGCCCAGGCCAGGAGGCCTCCAGAAGGCCTTAAGAAAGCCTGAGCTGAAAAACTTGTGTGAGGCCCCCAGAGGCTCTCCAAGGAGGAGCCTTCGCAAAAAGAGCCGAGGAGGATGGCGAGAATGCGCAGGGCATGGCGAGAATGAGAAGAAAAAACATGGAGGAAGGATCACGAATAACATTATTAGAACGGCGATGCCGGGAAATGCAACCAGGAGTTATCGCTAAATTGTGGGCTAGCCCTTCCTGCCATTCGAGCTTCCTGCCATTCCGCCTGCATACCAAACTTCAAGGACCAAGGTGCATGGAGGAGGTGGTGGAGGTGAAGGAGGAGGAAGTCCTTTGCGTGCTGGGCGCCCGCGTTCTCCAGGCTGCGCAGGGCTTCCTGATCCCGGCTCCAGCTGGTCTGCATTCTGCAGGATGCACGGGGAGGAAAGTGGTCAGAAGGAGGGTGAGGACATTGAGGGAAAGGAGGAGGAGGATGGAAGATGAGGAGGTGGAGGAGGAGGGAGCAGATGGAGGTGGAGGAGGAGGATGGAGGGGGGAGGGAAGGGACCAGGTGGAGGGGGAGGAAAGTGAGGTCAAGCGGGTTCGAGTCGTATCGCCGCGGCGACAACCCCGGCGCCGGCGTTCAAGGGTGGACGCCATTGGTGGCTCGGGATCGGCCGACATCGAACGATCTGCGCGATCGGAAAGCTGCGATTGGCCTGCGGCACGGTGGCGGGATTGGCAATGCTGCCGATGCTAAATTTGGCCGTACGGTGGCCGCGTTGATTTGAACGTGTGGCCCAGGGGAATGTTGATGCAGCTTCTTGTTCCGTTCAGCACTTGTTGTGCGCGCATGAATGCCCAATACTAGTGTAAGGAGGACGCATGGGAGCACACTCAGCACTGACTGGTAGTATTGCTAGTCTTGGCAGCGCATGCGAACAAATGCTGTTTAAACTGCAGCGCAGCATACTGCAGGATTGTCTTTCGAGCGCAAGCTGGCAAAAGCCATGCTTCACCGAATGACCACATCAAAACCATCGGACGCGCGCGTTCCTAGTCATCCTTATGTTGTTCCTCCTATTTCCCCCCTTGTCACCTGCCGATCCTTTCAGTATTCATCGTAGTAGTCCCCCTTCCATCTCTCCGCATTCCTCCTCTTCCTTATCACCGTGCTCCTCGTCCTCCTCCGCCTTCATCCTCCACCCCCTTGATCGCCAGTCTTCACTTGTTCTCATGTTGCCCCCCATTGCCCAGCCTCACTACCTCCTCCTTCGTCCTCCCCCTCCCCGCTCTGGCGTTCCTCGGGTGTTTCATGGGTAGACCCCCATCGATGTGTGGGTGTCAGGGAACTCAGAGGAAATTCCCAAACACAGACAGGGCACGAGCTCGCGCGCGCGCGCGAAGTGCCTCTATCATTCAGGTCATACATGGGCGAGACGAGAATGAGCAGCGCACATGATTTGGGGATCGTTTGACCGAACGTGCCATCTTCGTCACAGCGGTTCCGCCCGTCGAGAGGGATTGGAATTTGTTGTGTTCTTGTTCGGCTAAACAATTGACGCATTTGCTGAGCTACGCTGTCAATGTCGCCCATTATTGTAGCTCTGCTGTGTCCCTTCTTTGGGCGCACACCGTTTGAGGCGGCAGAGAGCGCGAGAGAGATCCATCCAGCAAAGTGCATAGCCGCCTTGACGGCGCCATCTGGCGCCCCCTGGTCGAGTTGCTCGGCCACGGGCACGTGCGGGCGTTTGTATATCGAATGGCATTCGGCCCATCTCGCCAGCGTGCTTTGGTTGTGGGTCCGAGTTATCAGGGATGCTTCTTGGGGTCTCTTCGGAGCGCTCTCGGGGGCCTCGTGGGGGGCAGTCGCGGGGCCTCTTGGTTTCAAACCATGCGCACCGAGTTTGCTTCCCTCTCATTAGCGGAGCGCCGCTCTGCTAATCGGCCTCGAACCAAGGACTTCGCATTGCTTTGTTCCCAGTAGCGGAGCGCCGCTCCGCTAATTGGCCTCAAACAATAGGATTGGCATTGGAATTGCTTTGTCTGAAGCCACTTAGCGCAGCGGCGTTCCGCCAATGCAGGAGACGCAATCACACTCCCTTGGGTAGAACCGAGTGGCTGTCCGTTAATGGGAGCGAGGCAATCGTAGTCCCTTGTCGGATTCTTTTCTTTTGGGGCCCTTGTGTGGAGCGCCGCCCTGCTAATGAGAGCGAAACAATCCGAATCCCCTGCTTTGAAGCCACTTAGCGGAGCGGCGCTCCGCTAATGGGAGCGAAACAATCGTAATGTTCTGGTTCGAGACAAATTAGCGGAGCGCCGCACCCGTAACGGGAGCGAAGCAATTTGCCAACCACATGGCTTGAGATGGTTGGATGCCACTCAGCGGAACGTCGTGCCGCGAATGGGAACGACACACTTTTTCTATTGTGGTTGGAGGCCAAGTAACGGAACGTTGCTCCGCCAATGGGAGCAAAGCAATCGTAATTTGGTTGGAGGCCAAGTAATGGAACGGCGCTCCGCTAATGGGAGCGTTTCGAGGCCAATTGGGATGTAGCTGAGCGCCGCTCCTCAAATGGGAGCGAAGCAGTCGTAACCGCTTGGTTGTTGGCCAATTAGTGGAGCGGTGCTCCGACAATAGGAGCAGAGTAATATCAATCCTCTCGTTAGCCGTCTCAATGCATGCAGCAGCTCGGCAACCCGTTATTTTGTTTCTTCCTCCTCCAATTCCTCCTCCCCGCCCCGTCTACCCCGCCCGCCTGCGCCGACGCTCGCGACGACCCGTCGTCTGCGGCCAGGCGGGCGCGCGAGGGCCAGGTACGCGGTGGACGTCGTGGGACCCCTTTTCTGCGCTCGGTCGGTACGCCTCCTCTTCTCGCCGCCGCCAATCCCAACACTTCCCGCAGTAGCAGGACCTGGTTGTTCGTTTCTTCTCTTTCGGCTCTTGCATTTGGCCGCCGACCCCCCCCCCGGCCCTCCTTACATTTCCCGCGCAAGCAGGACCTGGCTGCTCGTTTTTTCTCTTTCGTATCTTGCTCTTGGCCGCTGCCCCCGCCCCCCCCACACACACGCACACACAGACACAGACACACACACACAGACACACACACACACACAGACACCCACTCCACCCCCCACACAAACACATAGACACCTACGCCTACACCTACACATACACATACACAGATATACACACACACACACAAACACACACACACACAAACACACACACACACACACACACACACACACACACACACACACACACACACACGCGCACTGCCCGCACCATCAGAACCTGTCACTCGCTTCTTCCCTTTCATCTCTCGCTTTTGCCCGCCTCCTCCTCCTCCCCCCCGCCCCCTCCACACACCTCCCGCTGCCGCGCGCGGCGCAGGGCGGGAACCCCTCCGCCTGACGCCCGAGCTGCTCGCCGAGAGGCCACCCGCCCGCCCGGCGGCCGGCGGGGGCGGCGAGGGCCACGACGCCCAGGATGCAGAGGCCGAGCGCCCCGCTCTGGGTGGAGAATGCAACGGGTCGGCGCCTCGGTCTTGTCGAGTCCAGCCCGGGGGGCCCGACGCGGCCACAGTTGAAGGCTCGAGGCTCGAGACACTCTAGGAGCTCGTCGCATGTCCCAGCTTCTCGACGAAGTGGACCAGTCGCCTGCGTCTTCTGAGGCGCCCCCCTCAAGCGGCTACCTCGCGCTCAGACGCCAGCCCGTTTCCGATACGACTTCAAGTCGCCAGTTGTGGGCGTCGCGCACTGGGGGGCGATACATGTGGGGGGCAGCGTGGGCTGCAGAAAAGGGGCCCTTGAAGGCCCCTAAAGGAGCCCTTTAAGGCCCCCAAGAGGCTCCGTTAGGGCCCGAGAAGTGCACCCTTCTTCCCAATGATTTGTCGCCCCCCCCCCAGTAAGTAAGCATCGCCCAAAGGAGAGAGGGGAGACGCCGCGCCTTCGGCACTCAGGAATCGCGCAGTCGCTTTAGATTCCGTGGCGATATACGATTGAATCGCGCAATCGCTCGAGACTTCCTCGTGATTCCAGCGGACTGACGCTTCAGCGACCCGCCCGCTCGTCGGCTGCTCGTATGCTCGTATGCTCGTCGGCTTCGTCTGGGGGTGCCGTCGCTCGGCTGGGTGCTCATAATAATGTGGGTGGTCACCGCAATCATTGCTATGGCTGTGCGCGTGCTGGTGAAGGCTGATGATACTGATGTCGACCTTCTGGAGTCCTGTTCGGCGTTGCACGACCCAGGCAATCAAATTGAGGTCGCACTCTGCGAGCCGTTGAAAGTGCCCAGCCAGGAATTTTGCGGTACCATTGGGGAGTGCATGTTCATTGTATTCCGATGCATTTTGGGGGATTGTTCGGACACGGAGGGGAAATCATTGATACCCATCATGAGTCAGCTCCGTGGCCGTGCATTCAATCTCACCAATTTGATAGTGATGATGCTCATTGTGCTTGGAATTTTCAAGGTGGTGGCCGCTGTCTCCGTGGACTCGATAACAATGGTTTTCGAGGAGGAAGATCGTAGGTACAGCAAGAAACACATGTGGACAGGCGACGCTGTCCTTCATGGACTGGCGAAGTTATGCAATTTTATAGAAGAAAGTCAACAACCAGCTGTGAACCCTTATCGAATGAAAGAGTTCGACCAGATGACGTGGACCGCTAATTGAACAGTTGACCATCCCTTCCGCAGACCCTGATGCGGCCCGAGAGCTCAAACAGCTCGACATCGAAGCGGACGACTACGTTGGCGTTCATATTGACCCGACGTCCCACCTCACTTGATAAACCAGTGCAACAAGTACAGACTGATCGACATATTCGGAATCAACGAGGATGGCAAGGTCAGCGCCGAAGAGATGCTGTACACGATCGCCCGCCTGCAGGGCCAGGCGCACATGAACCTCGATGGGCTGAACACGCTGAGAATTTTACAGAGTGCAGAGGTCGCTCAAAAGCAAGCCCATCAAAAACGTGCTGACCGCCCGCTCGCGGGGGCCCAAACCGCCCGTCGCGGCCCCCGCCGCCGTGCCGCGTGCTGGCCTGCAGGCCGCGGCCAGCACGGGCTCCGCCCTGCGCCCAGCCCTTCCCGCGGGCGTGATCGGAGCGGCTTCCGGCGAAGGTGAGCATCGGACGGCGGTGGCTTTGGTGGCGGGGGGCGAGCCAGGCGACGGCGGCGACGGTGCGGGCCGACGCCAACAGCGTCGAGAGCCAGGAGAGCCGGGCGGTGACGGCGCCAGCGAGGGTCGCCGCCACGGTCGACGGCGGGCGCCACAGGCAGAAGGTCTAGACCAAGCAGGTGGCCGAGAGCCACGGCAAGCCGAGGGGCGACCCGTGATCGCAGCATTGCTGTTTCTTGGCCAGCGCGCGTGCTTGGGTAATCGGAACAGTGCCGAACGACGACGACGACGACGACGACGACGACGACGACGACGACAAAGACGACAAAGACGACGACGACGACGACAAAGACGACAAAGCCGACGACGACAGCACTGCGGTTTCTTTGCCTGCGCGTGCGCTCCCCGCGGCGCCGAGCGGCCTGGGCATCTGGGCCGCGCCCGCTCGTGCGGGGGGGGGCGGCTGTGTGCACGCCTGCCGGGCCCCGCCGCCCGTGCCAACGGGCGCGCAGCTCTCCCCTGGGCTATTCGCCCCTATCGTCGCCTCTGAACCTTGGAGAGCCCCGGAGAGGGAAATGGGGGGGGCAGCGAGGGCCCCGGAGATATCCGACGCCCCGACAGAAAGATTGGAGCGGCGGGTCTGGAGCCCCGGTAGCATCGTGCGCACATGGGCGACGCAACAAAAACGGGGTCGTCTTCGCCGACTGGCGCGCCAGCTGCCCGCGTAAGGTCGCGCGTGGTCGCCCCCGTTTCCAGAGCAGCGTGCTAGGCGGGCGGCCCGCGTAAGCCGCGGCGTAAGGTCGCTACGTCATCTCGCGCAAGGCCAGTTTTTTCGATCGTCGCGCACGTGGCATGCATGCGTCGCTGTTGATGACTTGCTTGTTGGAGGCATGCTTTCCCGCGCCACGGCGCCCATCCCCTCTCCCGGCAGGAGCGCACTGCGCCAGGGGACCCGCAACCCGGAACCGTAACCTTGACTGTACAGTCAACCCGCATAAGAAGGATGGGCAGCCTTCCCAAGGGTACCCTTGCATCCTTGCCCCCTCGGTCCATCCATCGCCACGTTCGTTGGCCGCGTCCCGCTCGAAGAACTTCGAATTGGGCGTCCAAGGCCCTTGCATCATTATCGCGGATCCTTACTGCACGGGTTGACTGTACCCCGAGGGAGCTTCAAACGAGACCCAAAGGGTACCCCGCCAACCCTGAAATATGAGCCTCCGCCCAAGAGACGTTTTCGTGCGTGCCTCGTTCTTCTTTCCGCGGGTGGCGACCAGTCTTCAATAGCGGCGTTTCGCCTCGCCCCACAACGTCGCATAATCCGAAAGGGTACTTGCGGGCATGCTTAGTGTGCCCGAGCCGGCGGTCGCCCCCGGGCACGCACTAAAAGTAAAACATATAATATTGTCGACATCGATGATAAGGATGGGTAACCTTCCTAGGGGCATTCCTGCATTCTTGTTTTTCTGGTCCATCCTTAACCACTTTCGATGGCCAGCCCTGCTCAAAAAGCCTCGACATGGGCGCGCAAGGGGCTGGCATCCGTATCGCTCGTCCTTATTATCAATGTCGATTGTAGTGTCCGGTTGCTTCAAGCGGTTATCGAGCCTCTTTTCCTCTGGGAGGCGACACTCCGATGCGCTGCTGAATATGTCGGCGCACCCCTCGGCCCCAAGGATGGAAGGGGCCTCGGCGGGGACGAGGGCCCCACACCGAGTGACAGCATTGCCCGCTTCCCGAGGTCATAGGACAAGGAGATACGAGATCGCACATCGATTCAAACGTGCCGTTTCTTGATGTTTGCACCGGGATGCTATCGCGCAGGGCTTGCGAAGATGGGGGGGCGTGCATCATGGACGGGCGTTGCGCGAAAATCGTCATCGCCTTCGGGCACGGTGCGTCTTCTGACACTGCAAAGGCCTCGCGGACGGTTCCACCGACCCTGAGAAGAGAAAATTTTGGTCGCAAGAGGCGGAAGGGGGACGTAGACAAGGGACAGTGGTGGCTTTAACGGGAGGGCGACAATCTAATTGACGGCCTTCGGCTAATCCTGCCCCTGTACTTGGGTCGTGTTGCAGAGGCCCTGGGGCTGTTCGGGCGGCACTTAGACCCCACTGCGCGTGCCCCCCCAGCGGCCCTCGAAAGTGGCGACAGTTTCACATTTCGCAGCACCCCCCAGGGATGGCGAGGTCTCGTTTGGGTTTGCGTGAGACCCCGCTGCGCTGCCCCCCCAGCGGCCCTCGAAAGTGGCGACAGTTTCACACTTCGCAGCCCCCCCAATAACGGCGAGGTCCCGTTTGGGCCTGCGTGCGACTTCATTGCGCCGGCTCCCCCAGCAGCCTTCGAAAGTAACGACAGTTTCACACGTCGCAACCCTCCCGGGGATGGCGAGGTCC